GCGGCATATAGTTGGATTTAAGTCTTAAGTGTCAAGCTTGATATGCTCTTGACCCTGTACGAGTAACACTCAGATATCAAAAGTTAGAAAGGAATGGCATTATTTACTAGTGATTTTACAAACTACATAACAATTGATCTTTCTGCTAAAAAAGGACAGAGCATCCACCCAATACTGACTATAACCACTCTCTGGTGTTAAATGTGGTATTTAAAAACAAATTTCAGGCTCTTTTTCACCATAAATATAGAAATTTCACCATATTCATGTGAATCAATTGAAGGACCAAAACAGTAATGTCAAATACCTTATTCATAATTAATTATGAATACGGTATTTGACATTACTGTTTTGGTCTTACCTTACCTTACCTTAATTTCCGTGACAATTTTTTATTATTAAAGTCTTCAGGTAAAACATTAAATATTATTTCACTTTACCGAATATTCTGAAATTAATATGCAACTCTTTGTGTGTCCACTTTAATTACTGAATAAATGCGATATGGGCAATGTGGCAAAGCGGCACTGAGAGCTTATCATGTTATTAAAAATAATGAGACTCCGTTACTTTTCCAACTATATTATAAAACGCTCAACATTATGTACCAACACGATGAAGGTACACATATCACTAAATTGATAGATGGTTGCTTGAAAGTCTTGGTAAGTGGAAAAACCAAATGTCTGACGAGATCGTTGTGAAGCCCCAATACAATACCCACAATTTATTTTTATTACGCATCTCAACTTTCCGATGACAATTTCCAAGTCGATGAGATTCCTGTCATACTTCTCCTCAACATTAAGAACAGACCCATCTATACACGTATTTTACAAATTGAATTCAAATTAAGTGAACATTTTATAAAACTCAAGCTAAAAATATGAAATTTTTACTATTGCTCCTTTTATGGTTTTTAAACGTATATATACAGCTTGTTCCAAAACGTGAAAAAATGTATTTAAGCCATATTTAAGCAAGTAATTGTCTACTTTAATAAGTTTTTATTTTCTCCAGCTGAAAATACGATCGAATTTTTTTATTACTCACTGTAGGTACCTACCATGCATCGGGAATATTTATGATCCTATGCTCAGACTGTTTTAGTAAACGGAAAATCAAAGACCAAGTAAATCAATAACTGTTGAGTTATTGCATTAAAATAAAATTCTATCTCCGCGCTCAAAACATTTACATGACGTAGTGCTATTGTTTCCACATATTTTCATCTCGATTTTCATCCAGTCCATGTGTCAACTATTCTTTAAAACGTAATTATTAAATTCCGCATTGTATAACAGATAACATATATTAGCATTCTCCGCGTTTTCGTCTCTATAACTCTCTCTCTCTCTCTCTCTCTCTCTAATTTAATCTCTAGAACTCTTTAAAACGCTTACACTACGCAAGACCCTTGAAGTCGGTTTCAAGGGCCTAAAATATTTGTTAGTGTTTCATCATCATCATCATATCATCCAAAACACTGCTGAACATAGGCCTCCCCCAAATAATGCCACAACGATCTGTGCTGCGCCGCTTGCATCATGGATTCACGCAGCCTTCACCAGATCTTCAGTCCACTTTGTGGGTGGCCCCATCGGCCATCTTTTCTGCGAGCAATGTGCCCTCGCCATTGCCAGCATTTTGCAATTCTTAGGACTATGTCGATTACTCTGGTTCCCTTCCTGATATCCTCATTACTGATTCGATCTCTCAACGAAACTCCGAGCATAGCCCTTTCCATTGCCCTTTGAGTGACCTTGAGCCTCCCTATACGCCATAGTGAGCGACTACGTCTCAGTACCGTAAGTCATCACTAGCAACAGACACTGGGCGAAGACTTTTGTCTTGTGTGTTGAGACACTGTGGTATTTTGGACAACAAGATATGGCGTAATTTTCCAAACGCTGCCCAGCCGAGTCTGATTGACGATTATCCTCTTTCTCGAAGTTGGACCTACCTAACTGGATAATTTGTCCTAGGTATACATAATCGTCAACAGCTTCGAGTGTAACGTTTCCGATCTTCACGGAAGTTGACCGTACATGATTATTCGACATGAACTTCGTTTTGTCCATGTTCATTTTAAGACCGACTCTTTCGGAGGCTCTCTGAGGTCATCGAGCATTGTCTGAGGTCCTCCATGGTGTCAGCCATGACTACAATCGGCGAACCAAAGGTGAGTAATGTACTCGCCATTAATGTTGATGCCTAGCGCTTCGCAGTCCAAATTCCTGAAAACGTCTTCTAGTGCAGCGATAAATAGTTTTGGGGAGATAACATCTCCCTGTCTTACTCCCCGCAGCAACAGGATAGGTTTCGAGTTCTGATCTTGTAGTGTTGGTGTTTATTTGAATCGTATTGCTGCCTACATAGAGTTTAACGTGGTTAAACTCTGCAACAAAAACATGATTCGCGCGCGTTCGTGAGAGCCCGCACAAGCTCGCGATGGATATTAATTGCAATTTTTGGTGCAAATAAGACGGCGAGATTTCAATTCCTGTCTCATCTCACTGATGGAAAAGCACCATTAGAGCAATACAATCCTCGCCCAGGAAGGCCCTCACGTTAGGGCGCCACTTACTAGAGAGCGACATATAACGAGAGTTATCTCATCGAGTTCTTAGGTTTTCGCGATTGTTACACATAGGAAATGAAACTATTTTTCCGGATTTAAATCGCGTATATTTGTTTTTTCAAACCAACCGACGTTTCGTTGAGAGTTATCACATCTTATCTGTCTGTTTTATCACAATGACGATAACGAAAATAGAAGCAATGTAATAATTAAGCTTGTATTTATAAATTTGTCTTCGAATCGTTAGTAACTTATTGAGAATTTAGCACTTTGTACGGAAAATTGTACTGTATAGGTAGTATAAATTAATGTAAACGTGAAAGTGAAGTTAGTGAATTTCAAATACATTGTATATTTCTTCCTTGTGCTATTCAAATCGGGTATAATATAGTCTTCTAGAAAGGATAGATAAAATTTTTGCCTCATATCAACTTCTGTAAGTAATTGATCTTAAAGTCAAAATATAATAACAGTTCATAAAGTGTTCAGAAGACTCCAATATCGGGATTTAACAATTCGCTCAATCGGTGCTACTTTGACGTAATTGTAATTTTACCAAAATTTCATTAAGTTCCTTAACACATTGTGTTAAAATTTATTTCAGTTTTGCCAAAATTACAATTACGTCAATGTAGCACCGAATGAGCGAATTTACACAACCAATTACCATGCAAATAATGATAGCGACAGGGCAAGGCATTGCGACATTATGAACCAAAGGACATTTTGTAATTGTTTCTAAGACCGATAGAAATAAATTGAATTCATTATACCATATTTTATAATAATTAAATCTGTTTTATTATATCATTTCCTTAACTTGAAATTGTATAAACTGTCGGTTTTGTCGATTTGAGTCTATTTTGAGTAGACATGAGGCTATGTAAATATATAATATAAGAGATTTAATAAAATATACTAATATAATATTTACTTTTTCCTGACCTCGCTATACATATAAGCAAGTATTAGAAATTGGTACCAAAACAAGAAAATTAAGCTGGCAATACCCAGAACTTCCCCTTTAGTATTAATTTTAGAGTTCATTTCCTAAATTGGTTATGTCACGAATCGAACCCACGACCTTCATGTAGGTATTCCCACAGTGATTCGAAGTCATACCTAATGGCTGTTAATTATTTTTATAAATTTATAACAGTTATTAGCGAAAATAACAACAATTTGGTTGAGCGTAGCTTTTGGTATAAATTTTTAAACTATTTTGTCTCTACATTTCTAAACCAGAGAATTAGGAAACAAAGCATACTCTCCTTTCAAGATGAAATGGCAAACGTTTAATATATTACCATAATCTTATTATAATACGCGAAGCTGGTAAAATATCTATTCTCATGTCTTACTGCGTATCATGATCTCGATGCGCAGCTGTCGACAGATGGACAAAGCGCTGATACGATATAAGATTTTGCTAGAACAAAATCAACATCTGCTTCATGTCGTAATAACCAGTGATCGGAATTGAGGGAGTTATTAAGCTATAATTAATGAATAATGTGGACATTCCCTTACAAACCACCTCTAAAATCAACTCACCAGGGACTTCTCGGAACTGGTTAATTTGAATATGCGTATTATTTATTGAAATTTGAGTATATTATTTTGAACTTTTCAGTATTTACTACAAATTATTATCCCAAAAAATTTTATTGTACTTGTGTTTCTACAGGTACCTATATACGTATTTAAGTACTTTAGCCATTTAAAAAATAAACATGATACAATCTATATTTTGTATTGTTTGGAAAATAATCAGTAAAAAAAAAAGACATTTTACTACATTGATGACGAAATGGGTATATCTATACTAAGAAAACGTTCAGATATCGAGTTCTTAGGTTTTCGCGATTGTTACACATAGGAAATGAAACTATTTTTCCGGATTTAAATCGCGTATATTTGTTTTTTCAATCAAACCGCGTATGTTTGTACGATATACGCGATTTAAATCCGGAAAAATAGTTTCATTTCCTAAACGTTCAGATTTTAGGTAAATTAACTCCCTGAATTCCGATTACTGGTAATAACTCATATGTGTATGCTTATAGACGCATGTGTATAATGTAAACTGGTGTTCGTATTTGTCGTCCTAGGATCCAAATTTTAATGTGTTTTCGTGGCTATTTGTCTCTTTGATGGCATTACCTTACGTCATTGCCTTCTTACTTACCTACTTGTTGTGTGTTGTTGAATCTAGAACAACCTATACCTACCCATTGTTAACTAATTACTCATTTCACAAATCGAAAACTTACCCATTGTGCACTGTTTTCGCAAACGTGACCCTACTCGTGTTTAGAGAAAAATTTCATAATTGATGTAATATTTTCAGTTGCAGTCCATTGTACCCTTTAACAGTTACTCGGCATATGACGCTAATTCATGCTTTGTATCGTTTCAGAGTTCACTAAAAGATGGGAACGAGGTACGGGGAGTTGATACTGCTCCTAGCGGTATGTACGCTGGTTCTCAGCGTGTCCGTCAACAAGACTACTAAGAAGAACAGTAAAGAGTCCGACAATTATCCGTATGAGGACTACGACACCGCTGACGACCAGGAGGTCCTCTTTAGCGAAGATAAGCCCTGCCCCAGAGACTGCATATGTACTGTATCTCAAGGATACAGAATAGCCAAGTGCAACCGTCTCGAAGTCGGTACACAGAAGTTCGGCGACGATATTACTGATCTCGTGATTGAAAACGCCGACTCTCGTTTCCCCATTGAACTACCCGACTTCATTTTTAAGACACTCGGCCTTCACCGCGTTGCGACTATTAAGATCGTCAACAGTACGATCGGCTCTGTCGGACCGAAGGCTTTCCACGACCTAAATGAACTTTACGCAGTTAACCTGTCCAATAATAAACTTAAATATCTGCGCCCTGAAACTTTTACAAACAACAAAAAATTGTTGCTGTTGACTCTGGCTAATAATCCGCTCAAATTCCCTGCAGTTGGATCTCAGGACTACTTCTTAAATGCGTCGTCAGTGCAAGAACTTGATGTTTCTTACTGTAACATGCAATATGTCACTGCAAACACCTTCAAATACATGCCAGGTTTAATGTATCTAAATATGGCTGGCAACAATTTGTCCGATATAGATCCTGACACTTTCAAAAAGCTTCTCGACTTGGAAGAGCTAGACTTAAGCGATAATAACATCAAAACTCTCGTTGATGACATCTTTTCAGAAAACGTTGAACTTGCCACACTTCACATTCAAAGAAATCCGATTGACACGGTTTATGGACTACAAATTTCAGACTTGTTGACACTCAATGCTGGACAGACGAACATTAAATTCATCGGCCCTTCCATGTTCAACGGGATGACGTACATAGCAAATCTTAACCTCAGCGGAAACGGAATTGAAAAAATTCACAACCAAGCATTCCGCAAGCTAGTTGAACTCAATTATCTTGATCTTTCATACAACGATCTCGATTTCATGTCCAGTATACTTATTGAAGAAAACATCGAACTAGACGTATTCAAGATTTCAAACAACCCAAGATTAAAACACCTGCCCGCCGAAGGATTCAATTGCTCTGCTGGCATATTCAATATTTACCTATTTGAAGCTGCCAACTGTGGGTTAGAAGAAATTTATGACGATTCTCTTAAAACGTTTACGGCTCTGTCCCAGGTCAACCTATCTGGAAACAAAATAAAATCTATTAACTCTAGAGTTTTCTCAAGATGCACCAAACTTGTAGACATCAATCTCTCGTATAATGAGTTGACGACACTGGATGTCAAGATATTCGAGAAAAACTCAGAACTCACAAAACTAAATCTACAAGGTAATCCTCTCAAAGTTCTTTCTGCAGAAATATTTATACACACTCCTCTGTTGAATAATCTAGATATGAGTCACGCAGATTTAACCTCTCTTTGGAAAGCGGATAAGAATTTGCCTGCGAAATTCCTAAGTAATTTGAGTTTTTTGAACGTGTCTCACAATCGCATTTCGGAAATTAAACAATCGGAGCTGGATAAACTAAAGAAACTGCAAACACTTAGTATTGACTACAACCCACTGATATGCAACCGCGAATTTGAGAACCTAATGACATGGCTAAGTAAACACAAAGTATCACCGACCTACGAAGCGACTATGGCAAATCTTGGGAAAGACAGTAAAGACAACAAAGAGGACGGTTTCGGCGAAAGTTGGGAAACGCTTCAATTTAAAACTTGCGGTAATATTATACGGCACCCAGTCGAACCATTGCCTTCGATTTCTGATGAGGAAATATGGGAAAGAATAGACAAAGATGAAGCAGGTAACTTCGATCTGAAGGACACTCTTGATGACGATAAAGTAGTTGAGGGGCAAAAACCTCTACCAAAGACTAATGCTACTAAGAGTCCAGTTGAAAACGATGAAGACGATGATAACGACATTGAAGACGATACGCCCGATGATGAGGACGATGGCGAAGATGACGATGACGATGATGAAGACGACTCTACTGAGAATTACGACGATGACATTGAACTGAAGTACAATGAACTGAAAGACAAAACGAAATCAAACGTTATCACAATGTCAAAAGAAGAAGATAAGGACGTAGAAGAAAATGATAAAGTGAAGATTGACTTGCACGTACTTGAAATAGAGAACAATCGTAATACATTAGGACCAAAAGTGTATGAGTCTTCGATTCTAGACGAAGAGCATGGTCGCTATGAATACTTGTGGCCGATACTGATTGTTCTCTTGGGCGCGGTACTACTGCTCATCATAGTCGCAAAAGTGGTCATGGTATTATGCAGTAGGAAAAACAAGCAGATAAGATATAATAGTGCCATAATCGCTGCCATGAGCCACCAAGGCCGCACTAAGAAGGATTGCGGACTAGTCTACCAGCAATTGTCCGAGGACCTGACTGGTCCCGCCACGCCCAAGCTTAACCGCTACGCGCCTCTCCACAGCATCACCGTAAAAGCCTCCAATTTATCGTATGAAAGCAGTCCCTTCCATCACAACAACATTGTCCCCGAAGCGGTGTAAGCCGTATGGTACAACAGTAACTATAAGAGTTAACGAAATTAACAACTGCCTGTTAAGAGTAGATAGAATAGTGATAGATAGAAGCGCTAGTCAGATAAATGAATGCATATCTAATTTACTAGTACACAGTGCCTTTATGACCCCTCGAACAATCGCGACCAACTATTAATTTAATCTAGCGCTTTTTAAAACAAAGTAACAAAACATAAGTCAAATTAGAAATTATTTTTAAGATATACATATTATTATTATTACATCTGATACAAATTAGTAGTTAGGTTATTGATATGTACTTAAAATGATAAAAATTAAACTTTATTAATTGTGGTTTCTTTTGCTAATACCGCCGACTTTGTATTGTAGTTTCATTATGGTAGCAACAATAAACTCTATTCAAAAATATACAATATCAACAGTAGGTATACTTTTTATTGCGTAACAACATTTTATCTTATCGATACAATATAGTATTGTGTTACTGACTATAGATTGGTAGTATAATATTTTAAAGAATCAGTAAATAGTCATCGAGTCCTCGAGTAATTTTGATAAGTCTTCTTCAGACTGTGGCAATGGCGCTATTTTTAATAGACGGTCCTGTAACAAAGAGGCAAAACTTCTAAAACAGAGTTGTTATTAAACATGACATAACAATTATATAGTAAAGGCTGAGTTATTTTTGCATTCTCAAATGGTGGTATAAGAAATTGTTTAAATAAAATCCCGCAACATAAGGTCCATATTTTTTTTTTTCAATATAATCAGTGGATCTATTCGTTTCTAATAGATAGATTAGTTTTGTTTCCAACATGTAACAATCGCAAAAAATCTAAGAACTCGGTATGTGAGGGATTTTTTTATATAAAATATAAGTGCGCATTTGACCTCCATCTCACCTGATGGAAAGTGACGATGAGGTCGACAATGGAGCAAGCAGGCCTAAATAATGCCTATTCACTCTCGCCTTGAAAAGACCCAAGTTATAACGTTCAGAGAACAAGTCTACATGCAGGGATTTCCACTCCATAGCCGTTCGCCATATAAATGTGGAAGCGTAACGCTTCTTGCGAATCTTTGGAATGTCCACAACATAGGGGTGTAACCCAAGCCTACGTCTAGTCCCCCGGTGATGGAAAGGGGAAGGCAGAATTAAATCGTGTTATTCCATCGCACACTCTCCGTGATATATTCAGTAAAATATATAAGAAGCAGGCAACTTTACGGCGGTGTTCAAAGCTCTGCAGCTTCGTCTCCACTAATTCCGAATCACCTATGAGCCTCTTGACACGGTTGTCAATTGAATCCAAAATGGCCAGTTGATATGTAAATGTAAATCTGGTGTTTCAAGGCTATGAGATAATAATAATACGAACAGTCTAGAATTAACCTTGAAGACTAAACAAACACATGTACTGTAACGTAATTGTATGTTCAAGCTTTACGATAGATTCGAATTATTTGTACTACAACTTTTATTGGAAAGACAAATAGTTTTCTACATTTATAAAAAAAAATTTGAATACATTTTATTCCTAATAAAATTATATTCATATATATTCATATCTATATATAGGCTACAGATTCAAAAGATAAACAGTACCGTTATCATTTGACAATGGCGATTCCTGTATACATATAACTTAAACCACATGTAATTGATACATAAATAAGTTACGGATATCCTAGATTAACACAGACTTATCCATTGATAGCTTTATGAAAAAAAAAACAAAACGAAACACTTACCTGTGGCAAGGCTCCTTTAACAAGATCTGGAATATCATCTCTTTTATACCCTAAACCACAGAGTCCATTTTCGATCTTCATTACTTCCATGTACTTCAGAATAGTGTCCGCTAACACTTTACCAGCATCTGCCTGTTTGATTCCGGTAGTTTGTGTGCCTAGAAGGCTCGCGGCTTCTAAGTGTTTGTCAGGGTCACTGGATGCGGTAAATCGGAAGACAGCGGGAGCTGTTACAACTACGGAAAGACCGTGAGGTATTATTGGTTCACTCCTGTAATTGAAAAGAGGTGTTGAAGACCACCTGTACATGTCCTAAATATACAAAATTGACTAACTTTAACGTAAACGTAGCAAAGATAGAACAACACAAAGTAAAATTCCTTCGATCTGACTGAACTCGAACCAGCATCTGTTGCCATACCGGGGCCACCGCTCTTACTAACTCAGCTACATACCGAGGCAGCTTACGAATTTCTCTATTCGTCTATTCTTCAATTCGGTTTAAACAGCATTTTTCATATATAAGCTTCTCACAGGTGGCGATGACGCTAAGATCTGCTGCTTCAATAATAATATTCACAAAAAATTTATGAGTATCATGTGAGTATCATGGTAGTAAAAATCATGATATTCAATAAAATAATTAACGTGGCAACAATATGGCAAATATCGTGAGAAAACCGACAACGTCGAAAACAGTACCAAAAATCTTCATAACCGAATGACATCTGGTAATGATTTCTACATGTATTTCGGTGATGATCTGTTGGTTTCAATTTACCGCGCATATATGTGTACAAATATTTCCTCAATACACACCCATAGTCTTTAGGGACGAAACTCTTAACATTTCCAGCAATAGGATACGCCAGACCGTGACACAAATGCACACCTGCGTTCCCGATTCCCACACCCGCCATTGTGGCAGCTAGGTGCATGGTTGATCGCGCTTCGATATCGTCCGGCTGGTATACTGCACGAGCAAAGTAATTCTTCAGGGACTACGAGAAAATAATAAATATATGAATAGGTATTTGGTAATGTATTGGTGGATAAAATAATCTCAGTACATAGTACTGAAAAACCGTCCTCAAAAGTTTGTGGAATTACATCTAAGTAAGTAGTAAGTGCGCGAAACCGGATTCGTCCCCTAGTTTGCCACCCTTAGAGGTGGAATATTTACTTCAAATTTAAATGGTACTACTAACGAAGTACTTTCTTTCCAAGAAAAAAAGAATCATCAAACTCGGTTCACTAACGCCGGAGTAATCGCGTAACATACCTCATACAAAAAAGTACAGTCGAATTGAGAACCTCATCCTTCTTTAAGGTCGGTTAATAATTAAAAGTTTACGTTTTGTTAGGCGAATGAAACACCAACTTGTGGTTGGTTACGTGCAAAATTCTAAAAATATAGATTCCCCAGATTTCCTTGATGTGTCGACTCTATGCAAGTCGTTTGCCACCGCGTGAGCTGTAGCGTGTAGAGCTGTGCTAATTCACAATACCGCATTACCAATCGGCGCTTAATTCTCTTCACCAACCCTGAACGTGACTAGTTTGCGAATGGATGGTCAGGAATATTGTCAGAATGTTTGAGTTATTGTAAAAAGGGATGCTTGAAACGTACTCAATCTCATATAATTATTTTAAAGTTGTTATTATGTTTCTTTAATTAGGTATTGTTATAGGTGTGTCCGTAATAATAATTAAAGTAATAATAAATAAATGTTAGTAGTAAATAAAGTCAAAACATTATTAAAAAGCAGTGCAATTGTGACCAGTTCGCAAGTACGTA